GAACCTTTCTATTTTAAATGTCAATTTGACACCACTGCCCTTTTTTATGAAAATCAAATTGTTCTTACTCGACTTTTGATGAAATAGTCGGCACACGTACTATCTGGAATATAAGGATTAAATGGATCAGACATTAGGGAAATCCAATGGGAAAGTGTTGTCAATTCAAGTGAAATATTAGGTGCGCAGAAATAGGGCTGTCCATCATTAGTTTAACTTATTTAGAAAATAGAAAACAAAATTATGCTCAAAGAACAGATGAATTATTCAATTAATATTTCAACATTAACAATAATCCGATATGATCATTTTCCTGGCCTCCATAAGTATACGAATAATCAATTTAAAAGTCAAGTTCAGTTCTCGTTTTTGTGATTATATTGTGATAGAAGATGAGGTGGTAAAACATCTTTAAAATGTTAAAGAGTTGATTAAATCTATATTAGAAGTCACATGTTTGCACTACAGACAGAAATGAGTATATGGACTACACACACTTGGGGCATTTGTCTGAACCTGAACCGTCATATTTCACATGAGTATGACGTCATTTGAAGAGCTATTTTCCAGGTTACTATACCTCTCTAGAAAGGTTGAAAATCAGCCGAATGACACGGAGATAAATCTAAATTGTAAACATAACAGTCAATTAGACATATAATATAATTATATTATTAACATTTCAACTTTATCTACTGATGTTTCTGCCAGTAAATAATGATATTTCAAAAGATAAGACGGATACACACATGAAAAAGTCTGATTAAAAATAAGCAACCTTCGACGAATAGTCGATTAAGAGAGCACGATATATGAGATAATAATTATCATTTTGGCAGAAACGCGCGTACAAAACCCTCTTTAAGAAAAAATGAGACATTTGTTGCAACAGTTATGTATAATGGGAGGGGGGGGGGGGGTATTCGTGCTCACTGCAAACGTCTTGAAGGGAGAAAAAAGTTATTGCATTGGAAAAATCAGATGTGGTTGTGGAACATGAAACCTACGTACAAAGTCCTTCAATAAATGACAACACAGCCGTAGTCATGACAGGGTTGGTGTAACCCCTTTCTAAAAACGGAGAAAAAAGATGAAGAACATGATAGTTTTTGTATAATGTGAATTGAAATAAAAATAGCGATACATAGCACTTTTTGACGTAGGTTTACCATGAAGTTATGTTCTTTTTGGTTGTTTATAAATGCAATTTAAGCTTTTTCCCTTTGTGAAAGTATGTTAGTACTAAAATCCCATACAAAACACCTTAAAAGTCGATTACCTCTGACAAACACTCGTTTCAAAGTAAAATCGTTGAAAAGAGTTAATAAAGCATCCCTTGTTTTCGTGAACGTGTGAGAATAAACACACATGCAGACAGACACACACACACACACACTCACACACACATTTCACGTGATTTTTTCAATCTCGATATTCTTGCTGCCAATCTGGGTGTCGAGATAACTTTGTGGGAATTTTTGTCTTTATCAGAAGGTTCACTCCTCAAGATATCTTGTGTTTGAGATCGAGGGACCTTCCATTAGTCCATTGTATCCCTGCCAAACTACACATCTTGATTTCAAGTGGCACCGGGTGCCACCACCTCCCGCCCACACCCTCTCCTTCTCTATCTCTCTGAACAAGACGTGTGCAAAGTTAGCTGCAAAGTTTGTTCGGGTAATTAATGTGGCGATGTTTCTCATTGGTTCATTGCTTCAACTTGAAGAGTTCGTATTTGCATACAATACGTTTTAACACGTGACAGTAGGTTGGACAGTATATATATCACAACGCGCTCAATAATCCAAGATGAATATTCTTGCACACGCCACCTAGGAAATCGAAAAATCCTTTGATGTAATCAGTTGAGGAGAAATCGTATGACGCGCACCTAAAGAAGAACCATGCAATTTTACATTTAACTATATTTGTTCGAGATGGCAAGGTGGTAAGAACATCTGCATTGCACACCTCACTAAATCAAAAGACAAACCAAGGCTGAATTGGGTAATGTTCATGTTTCAGACAGTTGATTGATATTCCGCACAATTATTGTAATCTCTAATATGCCTCCTCACTGAACTATACATGATGCTCAAATTTTAACGACTGTAAAACGCACTGAATTCTCCAATTACGGCAAAAACTGTTCTGTCAAACCATCTCCGGCAAATCTTTTAAATTGCAAGAGGAAACTTAACGACTCTTCGCTCCAAAAAAGTAACGACGACCCTCACCCACCCGTTTAAATTCCAGTGCGGGATATTTAGGAGAACCACAGGATCCAAGATACCTACATTGATATATATCAAGATACCAGGACAGCTTTCCAACGCTCTTCATCATTGGATAACAGTCAATTTAAAGGTAAGCATGTTATATTCATACTGATAGAGAAAGAGAGACAAAGATAAAGATAAAGACAAAAAGACAGAGTGAAAGATATAAATAAACATGTATAGAGAAAATTACATTTCTAGAAAGTTAAGTTTCTGCCATTTCATATGACACCTCAATCACGAAAAATGAGCAAGGAATTACAAAGTTCAGTTTGTTTAAAGTCGTGCTTGCATTTCCATAATTTTATCAAACAAATTCGTTCTCACTGGCTGCCTGCCGTAGCAACAAGCAGAATTGACAAAAGACTTAACTCAGGTTCGTTGACAATCAGCCATGCATTAAAGTCTTTCGTCTACGGACGATGGTCAACGAAACGGAGTTAAGTCTGTTGTTAATTCCGTTTGTTGCTATGGCAGGCAGCTAGTGAAAACGAATTATTTTGATAAAATTATGGAAATGCAAGCACTATAAACATACAGAACTTTGTTATCCTAGCTCATTTTTGATTGAGGTGTCATATGAAAGGGCAGAAACTCAACTTTCTATAAATGTGATTTTTTTTTCTCTGAAATTCAGATACCGTCCGCCAAATTACTTTTTGGTTTTCTCTCTTCAAATATCATTTTAATCATGTATGCGTGAAGTATGCATTATATGAGTTGCATTAGATGAAAGGGGAGGATCTAAGCGTTCCAAATATGTGTCATATATTAATTATAATTATGATTAATTTATGATAAAACATCGATAATACTCGGTTTCGTTTTTTCTGAGACGCACTGTATATATATAGAGAGAGAGGGGGAGAGAGAAATAGACATACACACATACAGAGAGAGCGAGAGAGAGAGAGAGAGAGAGAGAGAGGGGGGGGTTTGAAATTAGCTAAAATTGAAATAAAAGGCTTGCTCTGACTCTTAAACAGAGTGTATACCTCTAAATGAAAAAAAACACGATGCATACTGTAGGAACGGTGACGTTATGAGTATTACTAAGCCCAACTGCAATGACGACTCGACAACAATGCCCTTGCGATGATACCAATGAGTGGTTCAACCTTTAATAAAAGATAGAACAGATAAAACAAATTATCAGCATGGCTGATATACATATGCATCACGCAATTAAAACAATCAAGTTTGATGCAACAAACTGTCTTCCAAATGCATAGCACCGAATAATAACTATAAATGACATTGTTATCCTTGATGCCTGTATCAAAATATTCACTCCATATTCTGTATGCCTACCCTTGTCATGCAAATTGACCCGACCTACTTTCTGTCATTTTGTGCTAAAATTTCCCTTTTACCTCAAATGCTACTTTCCCTAGCTAACTAAATTTAGACCATCATCTTCTGTTCATAATTAAGTCATAATCGTATTCTGCCATACATTCATAGAGCTTCTTGCTCATTCATAATATCATAACCTTACTTGGATATTTCGTACTTTTCCAGCATGAATTATCGTATACGCTACTTACACCAAAACTTATATGTGGTACATTTACATTCAAAACGTATGGATGTTCTATGATTCTAATCTTATTTCATACATCACATCAATCCACCATTATAATCACCATTAACATCAGGCAAAAGAGTAAATATTGAGCTATCATAATATGCAGTGATTTTCTACTTACAACATCGGGCTGTCTCAGGAAAACAAAATTACAGTAGACTTTTCAGTGTAATAAACATTCAGTGTAAACGTAAATCAGTAGCTCCACATAATCAAATCCCGCCCTCTACGACCTGAATGCAGAATCCAGCTAAAAACTCCGCTTCTGACGTCACAATATCAACATCCCGGCCCCTTAAATTAACCGAATACTTTGAATTTACCAAACCTTTCACTGCCAACATCTATAACAAAACTGTCACTCTCTTGAAATTTTCACTGCCAACATCTATAACAAACTGTCACTCTCTTGAAATTTCAAGACTTCGATAAATACAGTCCCTTAAAATCCAAAAAAGGTGGTTGCTATGGAAACATATGTCCTTACCGAATAGCAGAACACTAATAATATGACAATAAGGACATACTACCTGTATTTCTCTCCTTATCTTCTGATTACAAACTATTGTATTACCATCAGAATACTATCTTTAGAAACTGAATTCTAACTAGAAATGAGTTATGCTTCAATTCAATTAAACATTTTAGCAAGTCACTACGAAACACAAAGTATCTGTATAATATCACTGTAGTAAAGTCTCTTCTTGTTGAAGCGAATCTAAACCGAATCCATTTATGCGAAACTAGATGCTGTGTCCACAGAAGTTGAATGTTTCATGCTCAATGCTCCCTAAACTAGATGCTGTGTCCACAGAAGTTGAATGTTTCTTTCTCAACGCTACCTAAAGTAATCCCTATCTTGAATTGAACTGGAATTATTTTGTATCAGCTCTAAAAACAACAAATAAAATGGCTAACTTCTCGAAGTCGTCTATCGCGATTCCTCTTGCTCGAGAAGTAAACAAAGCTTCGCGATGGGTCTGACGAGTGTCGACGTTGCAGTCTTAACCTTCACGCTACGTACATATCCCCGCTTACCAGGGTACACTTCTAAAACGCGTCCCATCAGCCAGCAACACCTCGGCACAGTTCCGTCTGCGATGAGAACCACGTCACCAACCTGAAGATTGCGTTCAGGCTGAGACACGAGTAAGAGGCCTGCTGTTGATGATTGCCTCTACCTCGCACATCAGAGTGTGAAGCTGCTCCTCCGACTGACATGTCCTTAAATACTGCTCGTTGAGAAGAACATGCAGTACTTTCCTGATTGTCCTTATTTGTCTCTCCCACACACCGCCATGATGTGAGGCCCCTGGCGGGTTGAAACTCCAATCTATACTGTGATTAGCCGTGAAGTTTGAGATTTCATCAACGTTCCAATCACTCAGTGCCTTCCTCAGCTCAGCTTTAGCGCCTACCAAATTGGTGCCATTGTCCGAGACCAACCTCTTTATTAGTCCTCTCCTGCTCATCATGCGTCTGATGGCATCAATGCATGAGCTGGTGTCTAAAGAATTGGCAACCTCGATGTGGATAGCTCTAGTTGTCATGCATGTGAATATCACGCCGTATCTCTTTCTTACAGAGCGCCCACACTTGATCTCATAAGGACCGAAGTAGTCCATCCCCACATGTGTAAATGCTGGCTCATCAGCTACTACTCGGAAGGCAGGTAGATCAGCCATCTTCTGCTTGCCGACCTTGGCCTGGTAACGACGACAAGTTACACACTTGCTTACCAAGCCTCTCACCAGGACCCCAGCTCCCAGAATCCAGTAGTACTGCTTGAGTTCTGCCAAAACATGATTTTTGCCTTGATGTCCAACCTTCTCGTGTATGTGCCTTACCAACAGTGCTGACACATGATGCCTTCTAGGCAGTATCACCTGATGCTTTGCAGTGTCTGGGATATGTGCTCGTCCAAGCCTGCCTCCTACCCTCAGTAGACCATCTTGCAAAACAGGATCCAACCTTGCAAGCCTCGACCCCTTCTTCACAGGTCTCTCTCGTCCCTGTGGATCTCTAACTCTCTCCCTTAAGGTTGTCATCTCCTCATCGAACGACTCGGTCTGAATATGCTGAAAGATGGCATTTTCAGCATAGTTCAAGTCCTCCACTGTCAAGTGTCTGCTCAATTCTTTAACTGGAGTACAGTTCTTTACATTCCTACTAAGGGTTTCCTTCAACCTCATCCACCAAGCTACCGCTCTGCGTAGTCTCGTCCAGGACGAATAGTGCAAGAAGAGCTGGTCAATGCACTTCTTGCCCTCACTTGTAGCAAAGTTCTGGACTACAGGCTTCACCTCTGGATCATCCTCTCTGATCCCATCCTTCTCTATGGGACATGTGGGCCATCTCTCCTCTGGCTGTTGTAGAAAGGCTGGTCCAACAAACCACTTCTCATCATCCTTCAGATCAGACGGTGACATGCCTCTGGATACGATGTCTGCCGGATTCTCCTTTGTGCCAACATGTCTCCATTGATCTATCTCTGTGCCATTGTGTATGATAGCCACCCTGTTTGACACAAAGACACGAAACCTTCTATGTTCATTATTTATGTAGTGCAACACTATCATACTGTCAGTCCAAAAGTATGATTTCTTCACAGGCAGGTCAAGCTCTCCTCTTATCACGACATCCATATTCACAGCGAGTGTAGCTGCCATCAATTCTAGTCGAGGTATGGTAGCGGTCTTTACTGGAGCAAGGCGTGACTTGGCCATAATGATACTGCTATGAACATGTCCTTCCTCATTCCTCATCACTAGATATGATACGGCCCCGTAGGCTACTTCAGATGCATCAGAGAAGTTGTGGATCTCGTAATCAGTTATCCTGCCAAAGTCGTGAGGCTTGACACATCTACTGACCTCAACTCCTTCCATCTGTGGAAGTTCCTCAATCCAAGCCTTCCATTTCTTTGCATCACTGTCAGGGATAGGCTCATCCCAGTTCAGCTTCTTCCGGGTCAACTCCTGAAGAATCAACTTCCCTCTCAGTGCAAATGGGCTAGCATATCCCAAAGGGTCGTAGACAGAAGAAACAACACTTAAGAGTCCTCTTCGTGTTAAAGGCTTGTCCTTCGCCTGAATCTTGTAGACAAAGCTATCTCTTTCTACATCCCATATCATACCAAGTGCACGCTCTATTGGTAGGGCATCAAAGTTCAGGTCGAGTCCAACCACTTGCTTGGCCCGATCTTGTACTGGTATGGTTTGCAGAACTCTTGTGTTGCTACTCATCCACTTAGCGAGTCGAAATCCACCCTTCTGCAACAAGGTTCTCAATTCTGATGCCAGTCTTATAGCTTCATCTTCCTCTTCAACAGAGACCAGGCAGTGGTCTACGTAGAAATTCATCTCTACTACTCTTGGTGCTTGTGTATTGCACTGATCTCCATAGTCCTTTGCTGTTTGCCGCATGGCAAACGAGCAACAGCTGGGGCTCCATGTACCCCCAAACAGGTGCACACACATCCTGTAGATCTTAGGATCTTCATCCACTCTTCCATCAGGCCACCACAAGAAGCGAAGTACATCTCGTTCATCTGGATGGACTGTTACCTGGTGGAACATGGCTTCCACATCAGCCATGATGGCAATTGGTGCTCGACGAAATCGAAGAAGTACACCAGTCAACTTGTTGGTCAGATCCGGCCCTTGCATCACCACATCGTTCAGACCAACTCCTAAGCACTTGGCAGCACAATCAAACACAATCCGAAGTTTGTCTGGTTTCTTCGGATTTATCACTGGGTGATGTGGTAGGTACCAACAAGTTCCATTTGGCGGTTGAGTTTCATCAACTTCCTCGGCGTAGCCCTTGGCAACTAGGTCAGCCATGCCCTGTGAATACTTAGCATGCATTGCCGTATCCCTGAGAAGTCGTCTTCTTAGTGAATGGAGTCTCTGCTGGGCCATCCATCTATTGTCACAAAGTGGCGGGGGTCGTTCTTTGAATGGTATGGGCAGTTGATAGTGACCTCCATTCATTACCACATTGCCCTCCCATAGCTTCAATACCTCTCGGTCCTTGACTGACATTCCTTTAGCATCACAATGGAGGGTTTCAATGCCTTCTAGAGACCAAAACAGCTTACACTGGTCTTCAAGGGATATTCTGAGATATAGTGTGATGTTACAGCCATCTTCCTACCATCACTCTGAACCGGCCCATTCAGGGTCCACCCCAGCACTGTCCTTACTGCATAAGGGTCTCTTGGTTCGCCACGTCGTATCTCGAGAGGACAAATAAGCTCTGGATAATCTTGCCCAATCAGGAGATCCACCTGCAGTTTGGTAGTCGATGGAAAGTCGACATCTGTGAGATGTTGGAGTTTGTCAACATCCTCCTTCATTAGCAGGTGATCTGAATTAATGTTAATGTCTGTCTTGGTATAGACTTTAGAGAGATTCACCATCCTGGATGATGACTTTGCTGCAACTTTCAGGCTTACAACACTGGTCTGAAGTTCGCTCTTGGCTCTTTCCAGAGTTGAGACAGACACTATACTGGACAATCCACTTGCTTTCACTCTTGCTGCCAACTTTTTGGTACAGAAGGTACTTGTCGAGCCTGAATCCAACAGTGCTAGAGTCTCTACACCAATATTACTGCCTGCCGCATAAACCCAGACAGGAACGATTGGCAATAGCACCTTCATGTTCCCGGCCCCTGTGACATGACTCTCAATCTTCTCAGGTGAAGGACTAACAGCTTCCTCTTGTGCTTGCTGAGGTTGTTCTGGTTTCTGCTGGTGGAGAAACTTAGTATGTTTCCTGTTGCATCCGTAAACTGAACATACTCTCTTTAGTTTACAGTATCTTGACATGTGTCCCTTCTCCAAACAGTTAAAACAAAGCCTGTTTTCCTTCACCAGTTTCAGCCGGTCATCTAGCTGCATTCGTTTGAACTTGTCACAGCCAAACAGACTGTGCGATTCCTTGCATATCACACACAGCTGTGGTGTCACATCATTGCCTGTGGCTGTCGTGGAGAAAGCACCCTTCTTCAGTCCTGTCGACTTCTTGTTCTGGGAGATGCCTCTACCGCCCTGATCCTTGGTAAGAAGCCTTCCATAGACCGGATCATTCTCCTCGTCGGCTGCACCTTGGACAAAATTCACCAGGTCAAATATGTTAGGAAGTCTATCCTCTCGCCTGATTCTTTGTACCACACTCAGCCATCTCCCGCATAAGTATAGTGGTAGTCGTTCAACTATCTGGACAAGGACTAACTGTGGTGACAAATCGCCAATGTAACCCATGGCATCTAAAGTCAGTGAGCAAACTTGCAGTTCATCTGCGAATTCTCTTAGGGCCCTCTTGTCCCGTCCGGTGATCTTCCGCCCTCCGGTCACTTTCCTGATCCATGCATCAGCTATCATGAAGGGTGTACCAAACCTCTCTTGTAGCATGGCCTTCGCCCTCATATACCCTTCGCTAGATGGCATAATACTACAAGGCTGCAAGATTTTGCGGGCATCTCCTTCGCAGTAGTATACAAGGCGGGTCAGTTTGGCACTGTCCGGAATACTTGTAAAGTCTATTGAGTTCTCAAACGCAATCCAAAACTCCCAAAACTTAAGAGGGTTGCCATCATACGTCATCATTTGTGTTTGAGGCACATTAAGAGACTCCAATAATTGCCTCTGTTGTTTCTGTCCCTCCTGCAAAATCTGCAGCAACAAAGCCTCCGTTGGCTTCGTACTCTGTTCAACCTGGGTTGGCGTTGGCGTTCCAGAGTCCAGCGGATAAGCCAACGTTTCATTCACTTCAACTGGATGTTTCTGAGGAGCACTAGCTTCATCCGACAATAGCCTATCCGCTTCATTCAAATAGACTTGTGTCTCAGCTTCAGATATTTTCATCCTGGTATCCATATCTAGCTGAGCTTTACGCTGTTTCAAAGCTAACTCCTCCTTTTCCAGCGCCATCTTCTGTTTCAGTGCTTCAGCCTCAACAGCTAAAGCAGCTCTACGTGCCATAGTCCGCAGTCGCACTGAAGATGTAGTGCTCCCACACTGGCTGACCGAATCTTCAGGGCAAATTCCACCCTCAGGGTCTCCTTTGGCATTCTTTTGTCCAACAGTACTCATTGTAACAGCCTGTCTGTAGTCTGATGTGGACCTGGAAGCTGTTGTTGAACTGATGTAGGAACGGTGACGTTATGAGTATTACTAAGCCCAACTGCAATGACGACTCGACAACAATGCCCTTGCGATGATACCAATGAGTGGTTCAACCTTTAATAAAAGATAGAACAGATAAAACAAATTATCAGCATGGCTGATATACATATGCATCACGCAATTAAAACAATCAAGTTTGATGCAACAAACTGTCTTCCAAATGCATAGCACCGAATAATAACTATAAATGACATTGTTATCCTTGATGCCTGTATCAAAATATTCACTCCATATTCTGTATGCCTACCCTTGTCATGCAAATTGACCCGACCTACTTTCTGTCATTTTGTGCTAAAATTTCCCTTTTACCTCAAATGCTACTTTCCCTAGCTAACTAAATTTAGACCATCATCTTCTGTTCATAATTAAGTCATAATCGTATTCTGCCATACATTCATAGAGCTTCTTGCTCATTCATAATATCATAACCTTACTTGGATATTTCGTACTTTTCCAGCATGAATTATCGTATACGCTACTTACACTAAAACTTATATGTGGTACATTTACATTCAAAACGTATGGATGTTCTATGATTCTAATCTTATTTCATACATCACATCAATCCACCATTATAATCACCATTAACATCAGGCAAAAGAGTAAATATTGAGCTATCATAATATGCAGTGATTTTCTACTTACAACATCGGGCTGTCTCAGGAAAACAAAATTACAGTAGACTTTTCAGTGTAATAAACATTCAGTGTAACGTAAATCAGTAGCTCCACAGAATCAAATCCCGCCCTCTACGACCTGAATGCAGAATCCAGCTAAAAACCCCGCTTCTGACGTCACAATATCAACACATACATTAAATAAATCATATAAACAAATAAAAAACGAGTTTTAAAGCGATTAAAACATACACATTTTTAAATCGTGGGGACATGTTTACATTAACATATGCTATTTAGTATGTAATTGTGGTGTTTTTGTAGTTGATGTTTATGTAGGTTTAATTTGAGATCATATCGAGTTATGAAAATTAAAGATAAACTTGAGTACTGGTAATGCGATTGCATTGTGAAAGAAAAGGTGTGGAATGGATCAGAAAAGTTGATCATATAGCATGTAAGTAATGGTGTGTAATGCAAGGTTCTAGAGTCGTCAAAATCATCATAAATTTGGCAGAGTCTTGGTAAAGTAACAATCACCTACACAGATAGATGTATATGGGACAACACACATGGTGTCGGGCTAGTACTACCCTGATTTCCTTATCTTTCTATGCTCATTACTCAGTCAGTATACATTTTCTTTCAAAATTGTTTGGCACATGACATTTATTTGTAATCTTGAACATTCAGTGTAAGTTTCGTTAGATTCTGTGAGAATTCATTTTTTTTTTTTTTTTACCAGAACTCAAGTTTATCTTTAACTGTATTCATCTTTCTTCAAAGATTACCATGTCACTATTAAATGTTAATTATGATACAAATGATACCGAGAGATTATTATATTAGAAAGTGCATAACAAGTTTTTATGAATTTCACAAGACAAAAGGCTTATAACCTAGATCAAGTAATATGTTTGCACACAGCTCTGGAAGTTAAACATAAATCACTATACGCATGCGACCTTAAAATTGGCTTGATTGGCAGTGTCACTTCAAATTTCCCGTTTGTTCCATCACACAGAATAACAAAAGTAAATGTATGACACGGGAAGATCTGTTGAATCTGTTGGAGATCGGATAATACGGATTGTATGTGTTTTTTTAAATATCACTTTGATTGTATAGAACAGGGGGGAATAACAAATAGGCTCATGGTCGGTTAACACCAAGGTTTGCAATCAATTTCAAAACATAAATAAAATGTGTATATGAGAAAAACAAAAAAATTATCAAATTTTTGTACACGACAAACGGGAGACTTATCCGTAAAATACGTCCCAATCATGTGTACACGTGGAAATGTTTGATTTGCATAAATTTAGGAATATCATATTTCAAACACTCATAACTTTGTTATTACTGTTCCGAATTGTACAAAGAAGGCAAACTTTCACTATTCTGTCTCTCTTGCTTTTCCGCTTTTATAACATAATTTTGTTTACAAAGGTTGGATTGTCGTAGGACCATACTACATTTCAAAGGCACTTATTTTGACAAACCACATAATAATAAATTTGTAGGACCCATGGAACATAATATGGTAAGTTTTCGTTTGCGAAATTAATGAATTGGTGATAACATTTATTTGAAATAGTAGAAACTGTTCCTATTATTAGTTAAGCATAAACTAAGGGATGTGTGAGAAAATTTAAAGGGCAATCCAACTTGAATTGAGTTTTAAAAACTTTGAGGCCCAAGCTATCATGACAACTAGTGTTGTATTTTTGTTTCTTTGTATTTATTACCATAATCAGGGCGCTACTGGATTGCGCAAGCACACAACTCTCACAAACATCGCACTCAATTAGGGCTTCCCTGATTGGCTACAAAACTATACAACGTGACCGCCCCAAAAACTGCAGGTCCAGATTTCTGAATTTGCGGGGTCTCTTATTTGCATATTGTCTTGATGTTGACATAGATGGTTCGAGCGCATCCGATTTGAAAATCAATTTTCTTGAACGGATTATATGAGATGATTATATTTGTGCAGTAAGCGAAGGAAACGCACTCTACAATTCTATTTCAAAAACATATACGCACTATTTAAAATATGTTAGTCGTACGATGTTTATTTGGCCCATATTTTAATTTAGGCTCAATATGTTTTTTTATTCAACTACTCGCTTTATCATAATTAACATGTAGGAGTTTGAAACCATTACATTAATAAAAGAATCACTTGAGAATGATACCCATGGCTGTTGGTTGTTATGATAAACTTGTAGATGTGTATCGTCTAAGTAACTTGTATGGTTTGTGTATAGCTCCGGTTAATTTAATTGGAAGATAAAGAACACGTGCTCGAATACAATTATAATGAAAAAGTATGTTGAAAAGTATCAAGTTGAACAAATTCAGGTACGATTATTTATCCTGGTGTCCATACAAATTGTACAAATGATTCATGAAAAAATCAAGTTGATTACATTGTAAAAGAATAAGAGGTGCTACAAAATCATCAAAATGGTAAGGAATTGATCATAGATTGTCTTAGTATATGGACCACATACACACTTGTGTCATGAAAGATTGTTCGAACCTCTACCACATAATCTGAAGAGGGTTTGTTCAAGGTTTATATTACTTCTCCATAAATGATGAACGTCAGCCCAAATGACACAAAGATTAATCTGAATTGGATACAGTTAATTGATCATAGAATAAAATTATATGAATTAACATTTCACCTACATCTGTCGATGCTCTATTGAATCAATACAAATATTTTAAAACATAAACACTTCAAGATAAAAACTTCAAGACGTCTCATACAAAAATAAACAAACTTTGACTGTAATTAATTACGAGAGTAAGACCAAACAAAAGATAATAATTTTGTAGAATATTATGTCCACAACCCTCTTTACACAAATAGGTATCATGGGTGGCAAAAGTTTTGTAAAATGGGGGGGGGGGGGTCGAGGGGTTATTCGTCCTTACTACAAACGTCTCGAATTGCAAATAAAGTCATTGAATCATAGCAATTGGGTGTGGGTGTATAATATTGAATCCTATATATGTTTAGTCTTATAATTGATTACAACAGAGCCCAAATCCTGGTCAGATCACTGTTACTTCTAACTAAAAAGGGCGGACAAAATAAAAAGCATGATGTTCTATTTAGATCAAGATCAATTAGTTGTATGATAATTGCATTGCGCATCTTTGAGTTTAGGCTCATTTGTGTCTTTAAATATTCAACTACTCGTTATCATGCACATTTCAGAAAACTTTACTTTTTCATACAAAAATGCTAATTTGTTCTATCCACGCAAGTCAGATTGAGCAGATGACACGACGTTGTCATACATGTTAATGTGAATACGAAATAAATTAAACGGAACAACTGAAACTAAGCGAGCGAAGTGAACAAGCGTTGTAAAAAACATTATAATTATATCGGGCCCTTTCATAGATTCTAATATTTTGTTTTCCTCCATTTGACGCTTATTGAAGAAAAAAAATGAAAAAATGGAACTTTAAATATTTTCTCCCCGAACCCCTTATAATTTGTTTTATTCGAATCCACTCTCTCTTTTCTTTTTCAATACCTTCCTTATTTACTTTAAAACAAATAGTTTTCCTTCTTTACTCTCTTTTTTTTTTTTTTCTTAACTTGGCGCGTAACTGTTTTGGGCGATAGCACCCCCCCTCATACCATTAGCCCCCCCTCCCCCTCCACCTAAACACACACACCATTACTCCAGTCCAAGCCTCGGAGGTAACGTTCTGATACAATTTAACTGGGCTCTCCTGTTCCCCCTCCTTCTCATTTCTCTTGCTTTTGTTTCCATTTTCATCCCTCTTAAAGTACTTTTTCTTCATCCTTTCGCCTTTTTCTGTTCCCCTTTTACTTCTATTTTCTTTCCTCCTCCTCTCCTTTCTCTTTCTGTCTAAGGCTTCTTTTTCTTTTCTCCTTCCCCTGTCGGTCATTTTGCACTTCCCTTTTTGTTTTTATTTCTTTTTTCTTGCTCTACCTTCTTATTTTCCGTTTTCTACTCCCTCTTTCCCCCTTTCTCTTTCCCTTTTTTTTGCCGATAGAGGTGCCATATTTTCCTACATAAATTTGTAATCGGGTTTGAAGACCCAAGAGACAGACATACCACAAGACTAACGAAACACATTGATAAATAAGGAAGAAAACAAGCATGTTGACTTTGTGAACCCTCTGAAAAGTGGCTGTACAAAATGTTGTAACAGAGTGGCCAGTCAAGTTTGAAACTAAGATACTTCCATAACCAAACAGATTAATGTCATGACTAAATTCATGTTGGATTAAAAGTATTAGCACATGGTCTCTGATGTGACTGACTCTACTTATATGTTCCTTTGTTTTGTATCTATAGTAATGGCGACGCAAGGATGTATTGCCGATGATCTTCTCTTCCAGCTGGCTGACAACATTGAGACGGGAGAGCAGATGGAGGCCTTAGGACGAGCTCTTGGATTTAAGGCTGCAGCTATCAATAGATACACTGACACCAACAACAAAGGTGACCGAGTGACTTGCAAGGGAACACGTGACATGCTGTTTAACTGGAGACAGACAGTGGAGCCTTGCGACCAGCATCTCAGACTCAAACAAGCTCTCACTGACGTTAAGCTGGTTATGCTTGCTGATACATATCTCAAGGGGACACCAAGTATTAGAGGTGGGTCTATCAGTGCTAGAGTGCTTACAATCACTTCTTCCAGCTTTAAATTGTTTTAGAACGTTATATCAGAGCATTTCCATTTTATCACTGGCGTAGCGAGGGCCCAATGCCACTGAATTTGAGTATGGTAAAGGATATAGGGTTGTTCTATTTCTTCACTCTCTGTCTGTCTCTCTTTAAAAAATAAAGTGTCTTCGATGCGCGTTGTTGGGAGGGGGCATATATTTTGATATATTATTGCAGTACACTGTTCACAAGTTGACCCTTACTAAAGCCGCACAGCCTGCTTTTGATTTATATTTTAGGTAAATGTTTAATTGTTTCGGCTTATCGGTTTATCTTTATATCAATAAGACGTAAAATTGATATAAAGTCCAAATCCTGAAATGTTCTAATTTGGCCAGTAAGTTGTTATGAAGTCACGGAAAACTTCTCCATTTTGAAAAAGAAAATGATATTAATTCGGTTTTTAACATACGCACCTTCTCCCTTTTGGTCAGTACTCAAAATATAATGAATAGCATGTCAATACATGTCTTTTAAAAAGGGAAAAACCTCTGAGGTAATACATTTCGACAAAAATTGGGAAAGTTATCCGCCTCTATACAGTGCGTCCCAGAAAAAAACGAAACCGAGAAATATCGATGTTTTATCATAACTTAATCACAATTATAATTAATAAATGACACATATTTTTAACGCTTAGATCCTCTTCTTTAATTTGATGCAAATCATATGATGCATATTTCACGCATACGTGATTCAAAATAATTTGAAGAGAGGAAACTAAAAAGTCATTTGGCGAGCGGTATCCGAATTTCAAAAAGAAAATCACATTTCTAGCAAGTTCAATTCCTGCATTTTCGTATGACACCTCAATAAAGAAAAATTACTTAGGACTAACAAAGTTCTGTTTGTTTATAATAATGCTTGCAATTCCATAATTTTGGTTAAACGAATTAATTTTCACTGGCTGCTTTCCGTAGCAACAAGCAGAGTTGGCAAAAGACTTAACTCCGTGTTGTTGACGATCAGCCATGCACAACAAAGACGCAAGACTTGATGCACGGCTGATCGTCAACGAAAAAATTCCTGGCTCATTTTTCCTGATTGAGGTGTTATATGAAAGGGCAGAAATTGAATTTTCTAGAAATGTGATTTTCCTTTTGAAATTCAAATATCGCCCGTCAAATGACTTTTGGGTTTCTTTCTTTTAACTGCTTTTAAGCACCCATGCGTGAAATATACATCATATGAATACATACAATGAAAGAAGAGGATCTAAGCTTTACAAATATGTGTCATTTATTTATTATGATTGCGATTAAGTTAAGATAAAACATCGATAACTTTCGGTTTCGTTTTCTCTGGGACGCACTGTACATCACGGGAACGTGACCGATTCGGCTAGTTTGAAATTCCTTTAAGTTATATAATGTATACCGATTGCAGCTTTAACAAGCCCTCGCAACGCTCTTATTGCTTGTCCTATATCGATCACTCTTTCGCCAGTCTTCTTAGAAGTTCTATATTTGTTCTGCTTTATGTCAGAGCAATTTGCTATTAAGATTTTGTTTTCCTTTATGTGTGCTTGCAATGCCTTTACTTCATGGGAAGCGGAAAATGTCGGAACAATGAAACTAAATGTAATTTAAAAAGAAACAAACTAAACAAAACATATTTGATTGGAGGGGGTATAGGGGCAGAGATGGTGGGAATGCATTCAGATAATGTTGTCTTATATGCTTTTATCATTCCAGATATCTTCAATAAGAAGATTTCGGAATCCTTGACTGTTGAGCAATGTCGCGAAAAGTTGAGAAACAAGTACCTGAATGAATTGTGCAAAATCCAAATGAAGCCATGGGATCAGAATGCCTATGCTGAGTTTAGAGATATGCACACGGTGGTCACAGTGATGAAAAAGGACGCTCATGGAAAAGACATGAAAATTAAGGAAGTAATCCAGAATTCTGTGTCTGACATCTTTTCAACGAAAGTAAATGGCATACTGCCAGCTCGAATCCTCATTTCGGCCCCGGCTGGACGAGGGAAGACCACGGCTGTTGCTAAGATGGCTTACGACTGGGTTCATAGAGAAAAGGGGTCAGCATTAGAACACCTGCCACTCCTGTTTGTTGTAAAATTCAGAAACACAGGTCAGCTTACATCGATCGGAGAAGCCATCAAATCCCAGCTTTTGAGGGATGTTGATGATCTCACACCAGAGGGTCTAGAGAATTTCATCAGAAAGAATCAGGGAATCTGTCACATCATTCTAGACGGGCTAGATGAGTATGCCGGTATTTCTTCTTCAAATCGAAGCTTAATGAGCAACATTGTCAATGTCATCCGATGGGAGGAGTTTCTACAGTGTCGAGTCCTTGTAACAACACGGCCTCACCTAGAGAACTTCTTCAATCAAGCGGAACTTGCAACGGTATACACAAAGATGTGGATCGACGGATTCTCTAGAGAGAGCTCTCGAGATTACATCGACAAATTCTTTGCTTCGAGTTCGAATGCTAACAATGGACATGGTCTGAAGGTTTACCTTGATGACCAACCACTTATTGATGAACTTGTTAAAACACCTCTATTTTGTCTCATGGTCTGTCACTTGTGGAGCAATGGCCTACTGGACAGTGGTACTACTACTCAAACAGAATTGATGGACAGCGTGAATCTTTTTCTGAGGCATTATGCAAACGCCCGATCCAAGTCGAGAGTGAAAATCACACCCGGAATGTTAAGGAAAATAATTCTTCAACTAGGCGAAGTGGCTCTAACTGGTCTGCTCGACGATGCTAAAAAACTTGTCTTCACGCCTCATGATTTCCGAGGAGTTCCCGCACTACTTGATATGGCGTGTGAACTTGGGATAGTATCCAAGACGACTGTTTCATCAACATGGCTTCCTCAGTCCGACGAGACAACTTCCACTACGATTGAGTTTTATCACAAAATCGCACAAGAACACTCGGCTGGAAAATTCCTCGCTGATCAAACGTACCACTTTCTGTTACATTTCAAGATTTCTAAGTTAGATAAAGTACTACGCAAGATCGAAGCAAAAATCGGTGACTACGAGAATCTCATCCGATTCGCCGCTGGCACGGACAACAAGCTCTGTATTCGAATAATGGAGATGCTCCTTACAAACAGCTTTTTGGAAGAGAGCGAGAGATATCGCATTCTCCTTGATTGTTCATCAGAGACCACCAGTACAAAAGGAAATGTGTCTTCGTTGGTTCAAAGATGTGTGAATGCAGAAAGTATTCTTCTAAAGTCACCAACTGTCTACACCGTCGTTGGGATGCAAAATCTTCCAAAGCAACTTAAACGTGAGGTATGCACATTTTCATTTGACAAAATGTGTTCACAATAATCATTCATAAAGAATGTTTAAGTTATCATTTTTCCGCTGTAACTTTAAGTCAAAGAGCTAATATTAATGTGTTTATTTATTTGTTATTCATAACCAACTACATCTTTACAAATCATTCTGCATGATATAGCGATCAATACTCATGATTAATTTTAATTACTTTTTTATTTACTTTATTCGTACAATTTTTCTTTAATTCTCCGTCTTTTACTCTCTCTCTCTCTCTCTCTTTCTCTCTCTTAACACTAGGTTAGGATAGTAAAGTTCGAGGGATCTACTTTAACTACCGACGTGACGAGTGGACTCTGGTCCTGCCTGGGATCATTTCCGATGCTACGTACTCTCACCATCTCAAACTCCTCTCTCAGTTTCCGGTCATCTCCCCCTGAGCTTCCATCCGTCACAAAGCTAGCAGCCGAGAGAGTAACGTCACAAAGCTATGAAGGTCTGCTCTCATCGCTACCTGGCTTGACAGATATCGATATCACTATCGATGATGCAGAGAGAGACATACCTCAGATCACGGCTGGTCTTCGTCGGACCAGAGGACAAACCAAGAACCTGTATTCGCAAGGTCTGTCCGGGATCAAGTCCTTGGACGAAGACGTCTTGGTTAAACTTGACGAGTCTTCAAAATATTTGAAAGCATTGGACACTTTTCATTTACAGTGAGTTTGGGTAGATGTTCATTCCTAATTATACGAATGAAATTAAAGTAGACGAAATTGAACAGAAAGTCTAACTGTAAACTGTAAAAGGCGGATAATAGGTTTGTTGGTTATGTGTTTTTGTTTTATCAAATATTATATTAGTAAATATGTTGATTTCTTTGAACTTATTGCGAACTTACAATTCAAGATTAGTAAAAATAAACACAATATACAAACTGTTGAAAATTAAGAACATATTTAAAATCGGTTAGATGAAAGAACGGGATTACAAATACTATCACAAATCAATGCAATAATTTCCCATAGGAATCCTCTTCTCCGCCCCACCCAGCTGTTGCGGGGGTCTTGGTGTATACTTATCCTCTTTTTCTTATGTCCCTATTTATTTGCATTCGATACTGACATTGTAAAAATGTACATACTTTTAGATGGTTATTTTCTTTCCACTCGCATTTGCCACGGTACAAGTCACAACGTCTGCCATTGTTTGTCATGCTATATGTTTTTAAAGTCTTACTGATCTCTTTATAATATATATTTATATATATATATATATATATATACAATATATATATTTATATATATATTCAAATCACTAGGACCTTCTGCATTTTAGTATAATAAGTACTCACAGGCCGTGTCAGATGCCAATGTTTTGTCATGAATCCTCCAAAAAAAATTCCCGTTGTTGTTGTGTTTTTTTCTCGCTTTCACCTCTCTTTTTCAAATACTAGGTCTCTTGATGGTGGATGTTTCATATACGATAAACAATCGGGTGTCCAGGTAATCAGATATCTTATACTAATACTATACGACTACTAACATTTAAGAAAGCAATTTACTATTTGCGCCTGACGGGGAAACGGAAAAAAAAAACTTTCTTTTTAGATAATAAAATCAAATATAGCTCTTACAGATACAGAGGAGTGATTGGGTCAAAGCTTGTTATGTGATATCGATGGCGAGAATTTTAATTAGCATATTTCTCTTCCGGTCAGTTGTCGAGGTAATGGTTATATTGTACTGTTTGAACATAATGGTCAAATTAGCATATGTTTGCGTCGTAGCCTACCCTATCCGAACAACCCTACGCGTACCTATTGTTTGAAATGTCATACCAGCGAGCATTTGATACGAAGATTGGATGGACGGCTCGAGAGAAAAAAAAACACAATGCATGATATACCAATTAATATATTTTTGATCAATGAAACCCTGTTCAGTGATTGGTCAACATAGCATCATGCAACCCAACATAACATTGCCATGATGTTACCGATAAGAAAATGGTGTTATACCGTGACGTCATCCGTGGTATAGTGCACTTTATATCCCTTCTATTAATATTCATGAATATTCTAAATACATGATTGGTCAATTGCTGCTCACGTAATAAAAATATAATTTCACTATCCGAAATAAATATCTGCCAGAGCTCCGAATAGTATTCAATATATTTTTTTTCATGGGCAGAACTGCGCATGCTCTATTTGATATTTACTTCCAAGGCACTACTGCGCATGCTCACTGGTCATTGACAAAATGTGTGTCAAATTCGAACAAACAGACGACTATGCAGCTGAGCGAGTCCTTACAGTGTTTTACAGCTGACTTATAACAAAATGCGTTCCATACAAAAATAAGGTAATTTCATAATTTGTAAGGCAAGATATCGTACGATCAGTCGCTACTACTTCTGACCTACAATTTTGAAGATATCTGCTCTCAAAATGAAGATTTCCAGACCCTTATCGGTAAGTTATTAATGTTTCGCAAATGACTGCAAAATGTGCATATCTCTTGTCAATATATTCATCATTTCATACCCAATTCCAAAGAAAATACGTCTTTAGGTAATTTAATGATTTCAGATTTTCAAAATCTTACTGTGTTTTTTTTATACAGCGAACGGACTGCTCATAACCTTGTCGCCTGCAGTATCGGCGCAATTCACCAGTACCATAGCCCCGCGCTATAAAGTGCTCGATCCAGATCAGTTGGTATAGTAGTAGCAAATCGGTTCGGATCGTATAGAAGGGATATAAAACAAATATACCAAGCATAGTTCGTAAGAATAGTGGAAATTAAATATCTTCGGAGGCAATGGCAATAGCTATTATTTTTTTCCTTGGGGTTTCGCAGCTTTGTATATTTGTATAATACCATGGCACTATACAATGGATGACGTCATAAATATTTTCTTCCGTTTAAGGCACTACTGTGCATGCATTCAGCGAGCATACATGATTTCAAATGCCTCCAGCGGTCAGCTCCCGCGGTGTCACGGCGTTCACGCTGTGCAATTTAAGTTGAGCCGCAGTGACTGTACTACACTACTGCAGTACTTGTATCGCGTCAGCTTTCGGTCTTGAATTTGTGGATTCCTCGGTGACAGAAGCTATTATTATTATTTTCATGAAGGTTGGTTTGAAAAATATAAAACAAAATATCATGCACTATTTCAAGCCACTAGTGAAATTATGGACTCCTCGGCGACAGAAATAGCACTATTTTCTTCGGGGCTACGCCCCTCAAAAAATAGTGCTATTCCTGCCATCTCGATCCATAATGTTAATTATATACCTCACTTAAGAAATCCAGCCATCTGATTGGTCGAATTGCATTCATAAACTTCAACTGTTCCTGTAAAATTCCCGGTAACCATGCATAAAACATTTCAATATTTTTAATAACCATGGTTATTAAAAAAATAGGTCAGTCTCCATGGTTACCCCATAGGTTTACATGTTAAAAAATGGTTTGAGCGATGGAGGATACCATACGTGTGCGAAAAATTGGTCGGCAATTTCAATACAATTGAATCTCGATCGATCTTACCGACAATTTTATCTTGCATTGTTGACATGAAGACGAAAATTAACTCTCAAAAACAAAAAAACAACATCTGCCGATAGATCTTGATCTAAGTTCGTGCCAATATGCATTGCAAAAGTAAAAGAAGAGTCCGTATATGGAGCTTTTGCGAAGCATTCATCACACGCGAAGCCGGTTTCAATCCATTTTAATGTATATATAGTACAAAACTGCCAAGCATTTTGATAGCGGGCGATGGCCGAGAGGTCTGAGGCGCTGACTGAAGATACAACACCTTTTGTACGCAAGAGTTCGAATCTCATCTTCGACCAAAAAAAAAAGTATTTTTTATTTTTTATTTTTTAGTCTATTTTTTTTCGGCATATAAAAGTATTAATGACTGCTTTAATATTCGAGAAATAGTTGTTTTCATACGCTCTCGGGAAGGTTACAATTGGGCTATTCCCCTCGGCAAGCCTCGGGGAATAGCACAATTCTAACCTTCCCTTGAGCGTAATAAAACAACTATTTCTCTCAAAGCAGTCATTAATACTATACTAGAGCCTCTCAGTGCATGGTATATTTGTTTACCATTATTTTCTTTTAACGAAGTGCAATCAAGGCTATACCATATAACATATACTATCTTGATTGAATGAATACACCTTTTTTCTTCTTCGGAATTGCGCTAAATTTTCTCTCGTTATGATTTTTCCTATAGCGCAATGCGCCCTACCAGTCAATATAATTTATGTAAACTGAGATTATCATTTAATGTCCAACGTTGAGCTTTAAATCGAGAGAAGGGGGGGGGGGGGGGGGGGGGGTGTCTTATATTGTACCCGGTTTCACATAACATTAGCGTGGCGTAACAATCTAGTCTCTCTGTATTTCGTTATCTGTCCTTTAGGTAAAGAAATGTCGGCTATCTCCTGAAATAACTGCCAATATGTGGTCTTGTCTCAGATCCGTCACCTCACTGAAACATCTCACCATCTCAGACTCCTCCCTCAGTTTCCATCCATCTCATCCGGTGCTTCCGTTTGTCATAAAGCTATCAGCTGAGAGAGTGACGTCACAAAGCTTTGAAGGTCTGCTCTCATCGCTTCCTGGCTTGCAATGTATCGATATCATTATCGATGATGCAGAGAGAGATATACCTCAGATCGCGCCTAGTCTTCGTCGGACCGGAGCAAAAACCAAGAACCTGTATTCGCTAGGTCTGTCCGGGATGAAGTGCTCAGATGAAAAAGGCTGGGTTGAACTGGTTGAGTTGCCAACATATTTTAAAGCATTGGATAGTTTGCATTTACAGTGAGTTAGAGTAAATGTTTATACATAATTATATGAATAACCCTAAAATAGACATAATTAAACAGAAAATCTAACTATA